TGTCTTAGTATCTCATTTTAGGCATTATTTAGTTGGTTTATATATTTTGTTGTCTCTTCATTAATGCGTCTGTGTAAATGAGTATAAAGTTCTCTTAATCTTTTTATAAAGTCCACCCATCCTGTCTTTTCTTACCTTTTTGTTCCAAGAGATATGACTGCTACTGCCATTTTCAGGCTGTCATTTGCCTTTATAGAAGTTTTACAAACTTTTTTGCCCGCTTTGATTCTGTTTTTATTGAAGTTTGAGTGAATTCCCCTATTCAGCAGAAGGCTGGGGTGTGTTTCCTAATCCATCCAGAAGTTGTACCATTTGGTACATAAATTTATACCCTTGCCGTTTAGTGAAAATATTTAAATAAAGTATAAATTACCATTTTGTTTATGGATTATGCATATTTTTAAAGTTTGGTTTTGTTTCTTTAGACTTCTTTTGTGTTCTCCCCATTTACCTGGTATTTGTTTGTTGTGTAGCAAGAGTTTCCAAATGTTTACCACTTTTGGTTTATTTCGTCTAGGTAGTTTTGTCTCGAGATTTCCATAGAGATTTCCACAGGGTTTATATCTAGAGTCTCCACTCAGATTCCTTAATTTAAGGCAAATAAATAAGGTAAGGAATATAAGCTTAGATTTATTTAAGGCAAATATATTAGATAAGAAATATAAGCTTAGACTCTAGTTGAAAACTCTTCCTCCTTGACCACATTTTATGGTGTGTGTGTGTGTGTGTGTGTGTGTGTGTGTGTGTGTGTGTGTGTGTGTGTACCTTACTAGTTCCAGGTAGGGTTTCATTGTATTTTAAAGAAAACCACGTAGCATAACTTGCGGTGTTGAACTAATGGCAGTGAATTGTTTAACTTGTTTATCTAAAAAGCTTTGTTTAAATCTTTTGAATTTGAGTGGAACCTATCTGTACAGTTTTCTTCATTGGTGATGTTTTTTTTTTATTCAACATGTTGTACCATTTTCTTATTGCTTATAAGATTTCATTTGAAAAATCTGCTGACTCTTATGAAAGTTCCATTAGAGGTGAGGTTGCTTTTCTCTTGCAACTTTCTGGATTCAATCTCTCTTTGACTTTTGTCGTTTTGATTACTACATGACCTAAGATTCATCTGTTGGAATTTAATTTGTTCTGTACTCTGAGCTTTCTGGATCTGTATTTCTGTCTTCTTCTCAGATTGGGGAATTTCAAAGCTGTTATTTCTTCAGCCAGTAACTTTTCTTACTGGTCCTTTGTAACCTTCTGGTGAAAAATGTGTTCCCCTTCATACTGTCCCACAAATATCTAATATTTTCTTCATTTTCAAATTTCTTCTTTTTTTCTTCTTTTTTTTAGTGATTCTTTCTGTCTAAAGGAGCTGACTGATTTGATCTTGGCATATGGTAATCTGATGTTGAGCGCCCATCTATTGTGCTTCTCGGTTCAACTAGGGGCGAGAGTAATATTATAGATGGGAAGGTGCTTGCCTTGCACTCAGCCTACCCAGATTTGATCCCTGGCATCCCATATGGTCTCCAGAGCACCACCAGGAGTAACTACTGAGCACAGAGCCAAGAATAACCCCTGAACATAACTGAATGTGCCCTCCAAAAAAACACACACAAAAAAAATTTTCAAATACTGAACACTTTAATTCCATCATTTCTGTTTGAGTTTTTCTCAGACTTTCTCAGTCCTCGATGAATGTTTCTTTGATTTCCTCATTTCAGGGAACATTATTAGGATTGTTGCTTTGAAATATTTCTCAGGGAGAATAGAAAGCTCTGATCTGCTTGAGCTCTCTCCCAGATTTTGTTTTCATCCATCAGTGCAGGTGGAAGTCATGATTATTGATTCCAGTTAAAGACTATAGTCCTGAGTTTGTGCAGTTTTAGTACAGTGGGTTGGGCAGCCGACCCGGGTTCGATCCTTGGCATCTCATATGATCCCTCAAGCACACACCAGCAGTAATTTCTGAGTGCAGAGTCAGATGTGTCCCCTGAGCATCGACATGTGTGATGCGAAAAGGAAAAATAAATGCTGTTGGCAGTAGTAACACTAACATGCAACAGATCTGGGCTATAATCCAGGGTTCACAGTTTGTGATTGCCTGACGGTGGTTTTTGTGTTGAATTTCAGTGGGCCTCTGCAGAGACCAAGGGTTCATGCTCAAGAGTAGCAAGCACAGCACCAAGAATAACTGCACAACAGCCCGTGTGTTTTCCTCTGCAAGCGAGGGCTGTAATTATAATACATAGTCAAGCAGGCCTGTAGTGTGGCATGGTGATATTTGGCAAGGTCCGTAGCACCAAGTTGGAACAGATTGAGCTGCACTAGATGTTGAAAATCACAGATGCAACAAGCCTCCAGAGAGAGTTTTAACTCTGATATAGCAGCCTCCAAACCCTGTGATAATCCCACCAGCCTCCAAGAGGTTTGTTTGGGATTGTTGGGTTTAAGAGACTCAGTCACAGAGCCAGTTCTAGGGTTCCCTTGCTATAATGAATATGCTTTGGAAAGTCTACATGGGGTCTTGTGACTTTTGGCTTGCTTTTTGATTGGCTTCTGCCTGTGAGATGTGGACTTGGAGGACCTGGGTCTAGATCTTAACTACCACTTAGCTCTATGTCCCTTTCTTTTTAGCTTGGGATGAGTGGAGCTCACCTTAAATGCTCTTTTTTCTATTTTCAATGGGAACTAAAGATGTCTGCCAGCAAGACTGCAAGAGAGCATTGAGGCAAAGTCTGCAGTTGATTTTGGCTCCTGAATAATTTACCCTGTATAGTCTTTTATCTCCAGTTCTGGAGTAGAATAATAGAGCTGGGCTGCCAGATTTTGAGCTTAATCCCCCATTTCCCCAGGGAAAAATTGCACATGCCCCATTGCTTTAGAGATTGTTCCCCAAGTGCTGGTTAGTGCTCCAAATTACCCTCATTTATCAAGCTGAGGCCTTGAATTCCCAGATGCATCTTTTTGTTCCATGAGGGGAGCTTCTCTCCTGGTTAAGAGTCTCAGATCCCCTGGGAACTTTTCACTGGGATCTCACAGTTTGGATCGTAGATTTTGCCAAAATTACAGGAGACTACTGCATATTTTTTCCTCTTTATCCATTCTGCATCACCCCTACACAAGAGTCCTTTGTGACAGCATTTTAGTCTTAACCCTGATATGTCAAGTGTTTTCAAGTGCTTTTATTCATTAGTCTCCCATATCTTTTACTCACAGAAAAAATAGAAGTCAGTATTTGAATATTGAATTATTGCTCAGCCAAAGAAGATGATGACAAAATGTCTCATACTCGGCATTAAATTTAATAGCAGCCTAAAATATAAACCTACAGTGTCTTAGAGAGAAATAAAAATCAAATATTCTTAAAATCTGGTGTCATAAATGAGCCAAGCATCAGAAGAATGTAAGAATATTACTAGAGAATAGGAATCAGAGAAATCAAGTGTTAGCCGGTAATTTCAAAACAGAAGATAGAAGACAAGTCCTGGAAAGTCTCTTTAAGCTTGAAAGAACCTTAGAAATTTTAGAATAAAACTTTAGCCTAAAGTCAAAGAAGAGGAGAGATATTTCTTATTGACCTTGACATATATTATTTCTTTACATTCCAAGGTACCCTTTAGGTCAACAAATAGATTAGTGTTTTCCAGACTAAAAAATGGCAAAAATTACTCTAATTATATATATATGCTTTTTATTATGACAGTTATGCACTGCATATTTAAAAACAGTTTAAATTGTAGCATTTTTAAAGTATAATGGTTGCCCCATCTGTGCCATATGAAAAAACATAGTATAAAACCCAAGTATAAAGCCCAAGAAAAGTAAAAACATGGGCCAGGAGGATTGGTCCATGGTTGGAAGCCTGCCTCAGCTGGTGGGGGAGAAGGCAGTTAGGATAGAGAAGTGAACACTGTGACAATGATAGTTGGAAATGATCACTCTGGACAAGAACTGAGTGCTGAAAGAAGGTAAAGGACCAAACACGATGGCTTTTTAGTACCTAAATTGCAAATCATAATGCAGTACATCATGCGGAGAGAGAAAGAATAAGAGACAGAGAGAGAGAGAGAAAGATAGAGAGAGAGAAATGATGCAGGCTAGAGGGAGGAGTATTGATTGGTATGAGAGAAATTAGGGACACTGGTGGTGGGAAATGTACATTAGTGAAGGGAGCGGTATTGGATCATTGAGTGAAATCCAATCATGAACAGTTTTGTAATTGTATATCTCATGATGATCAACAAAAAATTAAGTATAGTGGTTGCTAGAATTTAAATAGATTGAAAACATTCATATTTAACAAATAAAACACCAGAAAATAGTGCTATTATTATTTATTTCTGATATAAATTTAAAGAAATTCGGCTATTTGGAAAATAATAAGTTAGTAATTATTAAGTTTTAGATTATTCAGATAGCTTCATTCCTTCCTTCAGCAGGTACCTATTGAGTTTACCTTCTATATGCCATACTGTGAGGTTGCAATGACTTGTAGACCTTTTCTTAAACACATAGTAAAAAAGTAAACAGGCAACAAATTGAGGTTTAACTAAATACTTCCATGGATTGATTTCATGAGCTAATAATATTCTGGTAAAGTGGAGGAGCAAGTATAAATAAATGAATCATCCCTGAGAGGAGAACAGAGCATGTTAAGATTTTTTTAAAGTGGTTTCCTTCCTGAAAATTGCAAGTATTTAAATAAGGAGTATTATTATGCACATTCTCTGCATGCGTATACATGGCATAGTATTCAGACTTTTTTTGGCTTAAATTAGACAAAAATGCAGAAAAAACAGGAACAATTTTATGATATCTTTAATATGTTCTTATGTTTTGGAGAGTAGAGGGAAATGTTATATAGACAATAGCATGAAAAGAAACATGTGTAAATAAGCAATATGAGTAAGCCAAATTAATTAAAGTTGTTAAATTACTTAAAGTAATTAAATGTTTACACTTAAAATTGTATCTATCTTTTCAGGATCATTGTATCCAGAATTAAAAAGATGTTAAGAAATACTAAGACACTGCTACTTAAGTATTGTCTTAATCTCATTAATGGAACTTTTTTGGTATGAACCTTCAAATCATTTTCTTTTGGTGGGAGAGGCACCACACCCAGCAATGCTCAGGGCTTACTCCTGGCTTCACACTCAGGAATTACTCCTGGTGGTGTTTGGGGGACCATATGGGATTTCGGGATCTAACCCAGACTGGGCATGTACAAGGCAAGAGCTTGACCCTCCAGTCCCAGAATCTTCAAATCATTTAATTAAAACTTTCCCTTTTACTGAGTTACTAAAAGAGCTATGATTTCTTTTTTTAGGTTCTTGGACTTTTACTCATAGGATTTGGTGTGTGGCTATTATTAGATATAAATAAGTTTTTTTCTGCTTTGGGTATGTATGTCAGTTTTTTTCTCTTCTACATAATGGAGTACTATGTAGCTGTTAGAAAAGATGAAGTCATGAAATTTACATACAAGTGGTACTACATGGAAAGTATCATGCTAAGCAAAATGAGTCAGAAAAAGAGGGATAGACATTAAAAGATTACATTCATCTGGGGGATATAAAGTAACAAAATAGGAGATTAATAACCAAGAATAGCCAAGATCAGTACCAGGAGGATTACTCCATGGCTTAGAGGCCAGCCGGGAATTCTAGGGGAAAGGGCAGCTCAGATAGAGAAGGGAGCACCAAATAAAGGGTGTTTGGAGGATCCTCCCAGGATGGGAGATGCATGTTGAAAGTAGACTATGGACCGAACATGATTGTCACCCATTGCCTCTTTTGCAGACCACAACACCCAAAAGGAGAGAGAGAACAAAAGGGAATGCCCTGCCACAGAGGCAGGGTGCTATGGGGGGGATGGGGGTGGGAGGGATACTGGGATCCATGGTGGTGGAAAATGGGCACTGATGAAGGGATGGGTATTTGATCATTGTATAATCAAAACCCAAGCACAAAAATGTGTAAGTCTACAACTGTACCTCACGGTGTTTCACTAATAAAAATTAATAAAAAAAGAATAATGGAGTTTTGGAGACACTTTTCTATTTTGGAAATATATACAAAATAGAAATGAAAAAAAAAAGAATACCATTTTAAAAAAATACATGAATTCTTCAGCAGGTGGCAGTGTTTCACTAAGGTTTTATTAAAAGTACCCAAATACCTTTCTAAGTCTTTGTCAATTGGTTTCATTGAGTAATTGCATTTAAATTGAAGACTGTAAAGGAAGTGAGAATTGAAAGAAAGAGGTCTAGTGACATTTGCTTGTAAAAGCAATGAAAGACTAGAAATAGGAAATTGTTCTTTTCAGTTAAAACATTTCATATTTGTAGATTTGAAAAGATTATAGATATGAATATAGTTTCACTGTCCAAGAAAATTTCTTTTAAAATGACTTTCACCTTGTACTTATATCTTCATATGGTTAAAATAAATTTTATTCCACAAATTACTGTATTGAACTCTATATAAAAGAAAATTTAGGTCTTTAATTTGCCCTTATCTAACCATTTCAATTTTATGATCATTTTCTGTGATTACTGTGGAATGGATTTTATTAGGCTGTAGGATATTTTGACGTAAATATTCCTGCTTGCAGAGGGAAGGAAGCCACATTTCCAGTGCTCTTCACTGTTCAGTATTCACATGGGGCTATTAAATCTTGACTGCCTTGCAGGGCTACTCAGATCAGGCAATAAGTATGCATTAGCTCAGTTTGTTCTACTGGATAGCATTGTTTATAAATAAAAATATCGTTAAAATCATGTGCAGGAGAGAACAACATTATCTTAGTGAATACCAGATAAGAAGAAGTAAGAAAGTAAAAACTAAATTAAATATTTATATGCAATAAAGAACACTTTGCTAAACTTCAGCTATTCCTAAGTGTCCGACATCTTTAGACTTTTTTGGTTTGTATACTTCGCTTATAAAGAGTACCCACTGAGTGAATGAGGATTTTACTCAGAAAATAGAAGTATGGAGATCTATGTCAATTGTTTTATTTTTCCTTTACTCATTATAATAATGACTAGAGTAGCACCGACTGTGTATCAGGCACTGGGCTAAACACCTCCCTTCCAATATCTAATTTAATAATGTAATGATTAAGGAACAACAAAGTTTTTTTCTTTCTTTCTCTCTATTTTGTTCTTGATATATAATTCTTATTAGCCCTCTTATACTAACTTGAGAAAAAAAAATCCTGAAAAAGAAGTGCAAAATGTATCCCTTCAAGTTTATTCTTTAGAGCTGGAGTAGGGTTGAGTAGGGTGTTTGGTAGGGTGTTTGCCTTGTGAGCAGCCAACCTACATTTGATCCCTGGCATCTCATATGGCACCCCCCAAGCACCAGGAGTAATTCCTGAGTGCTGCGCTGGGAGTAACTCCTAAGTATCCCTGGATGTGCTCCCAAAACAGAACAAATAAGTCCTCCCAAACAAACAAACAAAAATAAAGTCTATTGATTTTTAATGATGTCTTTAAGATAGTGGTGCAATAGCACAGCAGGTAGGGCATTTGCCTTGCATGTGCATGCGGCAGACCTCGGTTGGATTCCTCCGCCCCTTAGGAGAGCCTGGCAAGCTACCGAGAGTATCTCACCCACACAGCAAAGCCTCGCCAGCTACCCGTGACATATTCAATATACCAAAAACAGTAGCAACAAGTCACAATTTGTTGTGATATGTTACTGGTGCCTGCTCGAACAACAGGAGGACACTGACAGTGACAGTGACATTTAAGATACTAAAACTTCTATAACGATTTCAGGATATAGAACTGAAAAATAATCAGAAACTAGAAACATAATTTACTCCCCTCTTGTACCTCTGTTTGGATGTTCTCCTCTTGTCCACTTATAACACAATGCCACCTAAGGTTCCCATCTATGCTTTGTGACTGTAATAATTTACAATAGACGGGTTCTTTGACGCTTTTTATTAACTTTTAATTGCTGTTGAAGCAATTTATTTAAAATTCAAACTTAAACAAATAAGAGATTTTCTTTGACTTCACGTTGCCATCACTTACCCATATTGCTACAGAACAACCAATTAGGGTCTTTGTGGACAGTGTATAAAATTAGCACACTGACCACCAAATGTCTTTAGTATTAAAACATCTTTGATTTGGGTCTTTGTGGACAGTGTATAAAATTAGCACACTGACCACCAAATGTCTTTAGCATTAAAACATCTTTGATTTAATAGCTCTTATTTTATTGTTTATCTAAGTATACTTTTGCAGTTTGCAATAGCCACAGAAACAGGAACCTGTATATCTGGGACAGAAACCATTTGCCATTGTCATTGCTATAAAGCAACAAGTCAGGGGCACACAGGACTGAAGGCTGTAACTTCTGGAAATACCCCTCACAGAGCCAAGAAACAACCATCCCTTGGATTCTCTGGGGGCAGAACCAAAAAACAACTGCATACTATGGGAAAAAGCTTGAAGTCAGTACTTCATGGATTCCTGGAGTATGGCATAACTTTCACAAACCAGGCATCACCCCAGAACAAAACAGAAAGCAACAACTATTTGAATCCTTTGAAATATGGCCAAAAAGTAGCCACCAGACATCAGCCAAAGTTGCCTTAGGGCAGGATCAAAAGCATTTTCCTGGATGGATGGATGAACACCTTTGAATTAAAATCACCAAAGTAATAGGAAGAGCTAAAGGCAAATCTTTACCAGCTGATGAAAAAGGGAAGAATCCAACTGCTGTTCTGTGCCTATGGCACTCATCGTGCTTGATCTGCAAAACAATCATTCCTTGTCACAAACATGATCGGGAATTAAACGAAACAGGTTTCACTGAATTCACAGAGCAATAGGTCTCATCCCCTGAAAAGTGTATGTGGCCTTCTCAGGAAGGTACTCTGGGTACAAAGTGGAGGTAATGCTCAACAGGAGTAGGTAAAAAGATAATGAATTATGCATATGAAAATTAGGAAGTTCTCCATCCATAGGACTGGTCTAAGTATACATTGTCCAAGTACAGCATGGGACAGGATAAAATGGCCCTGGAAAGTTAATGTCTAACATGTAGAGTCACATTCTACACACACACACACACACACACGCACACACACACGTGTGTATGTGTGTGTATATCTATATCTATATCTCTCTCTCTATATATATATATAAAACCTACCTTTTCCCTCAATTTTCTGTTATCTGATGGGTTACCTCTCATGTCAGCAAGATATAAAATGATCAATCATATACTCTTTGACTATCTGCCCTGCGCTGCTCACTTCTGTATCAGTTTTATGAATATTTGTACAATAATTTCCACACACTAGGCAGGTAAAATTTCAGTAGTATATAAAAAATAAATGTTTTGTCCACATGGACTTTAGTAAGAGTGAGGAAGACTAAAACAACATGGAAAGTGCCCATATTTTTGACCCTTGAAAATCTTTTTTGCCTCACCTCCCTCAAACCAAGCACTGGCAAAGCTGAGTTTCCTACACATTATTTGCTGTTTGTAACTCAGTGCTTTCACTATTCCAAACTAGAATTTCCAGTTATCATTTAAAACCTAATCTCAGGTATTACTCCATACAGTAATTTTGTCTAAGATTACTAAGATTATCTAACCTCATATCCCTAGCAGATTAGGTGCTCTAGTACTCAGTTGCATATGGGGGAATGTTTAGTGACTGGTACTAGGATAGAAATACATGATTTAGGGCATTTTCCAATTTCTATAATTGAATGCTCCTACATTGGTTAGTGTCAAGGTGCCATTGTAAATAGAGTTAGTTTATAAATCATGTGAAAATTTAGCAATAAGTTTTAATGTGCTAGGACAAATTGTCTTTTTGAATAGTAGCACAACACTGCTTGTATAAAATATAGAGCATTTTTTTCTTTTAAAAATTTTGTTGCTCTATAGTATAGCATAAAATATTAAACAATTAGCCAATTTACTATTTAATTATAGTCTGTAGCACAGAGAGCTTACTCTAGTTAAGGAGAGAATACAACAGAAGGGAAGCAATCCAAATATAGTTTTTTAAATATTTTATGAATTTATTAATTAATTTTAATTAGATAACTAATTTTAATGTTTAGAGGTACTTGAATGAATGAATTCATGAATGTTTGGAGTTATGTTTTTCATGGATAGAAAATGTCTTCTTTTAGATAAGACATTGATAGTAAGTGTAAAGTAAAAAAAATCTAAGATATTTCTTATTATCTTATTCTAAGATATATTCTTAGAAATATCTAAGATATTTCAGTAAGATTGAAAAAATAATCAGTCTTGTAATTAAAGAAGAAAAGTTTTTGCTAAGAGAAAGTAAAAAAATATTTTAGAACGCTGTGTAAAATAAAAGAGAATCTTTATAATTTGGCAGTGGATACATAGGGAAAACTTAGATTATTGCATTTGTTGCTATACAGAAAATATTAGTAATGTTATTTTGTGGTTTCTACAGGTGAAGATAATTGCTTGATAGTGTCCAGTTTTCAAACTTTGATTGGAATTGGATCTGCTATTGTCCTTCTTTGTCTCTTTGGTTATTTGGGAATTCACAATGAAATGAGACGTCTCTTAATTCTGGTATTTCTTTCAATAGTCTGTATTTTTGTCTTTGATTTTAAGTATCTAAGTCAAATGATTAAATGAGCTTTTATGATTCATATCACCTTAATATTGTACTTTTGAAGCTCTTAATGGTGAGGCAAATGAAATCCCAGTGAATTTTTCTGGAAATAATTTTATTTTTGAGTTTTCCACAGATTCAATTTGTATCTCAGCACTTGAACATTTAGGTATTAATTTCCACTGAGTCTATAGAAACTGATTTGTCTTATGGGTGAACTGATATCAACCAAAGTGAAGAATCTGAATATTACAATCAGAATAAAATATATTAAAGGCAACAAGCAATGTATCTTAGAAAGGAGACTGAAATATGGCATGGAGTCAGCAATTTTTCTCCTGGTAATATGCCCTGTGGAAAGCTAACTTATAACTGAGGCAACCATTTGTTCCTTAACACGGAGAAATATAACTACAGGGAAGGCTAGAATATGGCATCTGGCTAGCACATTCTTTCTCCTTAGCAAGTAATAAGAAAAAATAAAGTATAATCAAGATTATAGACCTGAACATAAGTTATTAACAATATACATGGCAGGGAAGGATCACAGTTCACACAAATTCATCAAATCTGTTTAATTATCAGGGACTATTCTATAAAAACCAATGGGAAATTCAGTTGCAGTCATTGTGTCTCTTGCCAGGAAGAATGTAGAGACAAGTAGCTTTTTTATAGCACTGAAAATCTGCGTGGGCACTTTGGACATGGATTATTATAGGAGAGCCAAAATCTAGCACCTCAAAATGTCTTGGCAAATGTTAATTTCCTGGGAGGAACCCTGAAGGCAGGATTACACAGCAATTTAAGAACTCACTCCTGACCAAGGATTAGTTGCTACCTTTTGTTAATAATCATTGCTTTCTTAATTTTGATATTATCTCTGAAGAGGCATTTTAGACAAAGCCGGAAACCACACCTTCAGGTGGCTTAGGGGTCATGCTGTCTTAACAGGGAGGCAGAAATCCAGGTAACAATCCAGGTAACAGGCAGGAATCCAAGTAACAACTGTGTTGCTCTGAAAATCCCAGACATCCAAGATTAGTTTCATCGACTTTTTTTTCTAAAAGAAGACTAGCCCTTCTTATTCTCCTCAGAGGCCTCCCCTCTCTTTTCAAGTCCTATTCCTGTCTTTTTCAAGGATAATTAACATAATATGGTCATTGGATTTCTGATTTTGAAGACATGGTCACGGTCCTCACATTGTTCATCAATTTGCTCGAGTGGGCCCAGTAACGTCTCCATCTTGAGACTTGTTATTGTGTTTGGCATATTGAATACATCATGGGTAGCTTGCCAGGCTCTCCCATGCGGGTGAGATACTGTCGGTAGCTTGCCGGGCTCTTGGAGAGGGGCACAGGAATCGAACTTGGGTCGGCCATGTTGGCTGCTTGTAAGGCAAATACCCTACCATGTGCTATCGCTCCAGCCGCGCAATAGATTTTGAAGACAGAAAATGGAATATCAATGGCTTAAGAGAATTTTCTTTTTTATATCCTTACCATCATGGGCTGGAGCGATAGCACAGCGGGTAGGGCGTTCGCCTTACAAGCGGCCAACATGGCCGACCCGAGTTCGATTCCTCCGCCCCTCTCGGAGAGCCCGGCAAGCTACCGAGAGTATTCGATATGCCAGACACAGTAACAACAAAGTCTCCAATGGAGACGTTACTGGGCCCGCTCGAGCAAATCGACGATCAACAGGAGGGCCTTTACCTTTACCTTTACCATCATGGACACAGTGGCATATTCGATATGCCAAATATAGTAACGACAATAGGTCTCATTCCCCTGACCTTGAAAGAGCCTCCAATCATTGTGAAAAGATGAATAAGAAGAGGCTGTTAAAATATCAGGGCTGGGAGGAATAGAGACGTTACTGGTACCTGCTCAAGTAATTCGACGATCAACGGTATGACAGTGATACAGTGATACAGTGATATCCTTGCCACCAATTTCTACTTAGGTAAAGCATATGCAGACCATAAATTAATACCTCAAGTGGAGGGTGGGAAAGGAAGAATTAAAACTACAGAGAGAAATAAATAAGCATAATACATAAGTTTTACCTAAGATGAGTCAACTATTAAAGATTTCAAAGGATACAGCCTGATGGACACCGTTATGAAGAATATACTTAGTACAGTAATGTAACACTTAGGTCCTAGAACTGAGACTTTTTTTCTAATATGTGGGCACTCTGGAAGGATATTTTATATTTTTATAAGCATAAGTGCTTTTTGTTAATAATCACTGCTTTCTTAATTTTGATATTATCTCTGAAGAGGCATTTTAGACAAAGCCGGAAACCACACATTCAGGTGTTTAGGGGTCAGGAGATTTGACTAGTTTTTCACTAAACTCAGTTTTCCTTTAATAACCACTTCAATTCATACAGTCAATTTATCGACAAATATTATTGTTCAAAATGCTAATAAGTGACAGGTGATTTTATATGCCCAAACTCTAGTTAAATAGATAATAGCTTTATGGTTTGGCCGTCAGGGCAATTTTAATTCTCTTTTAAATGTTGGACAAAATTTCTAGTATTTTCCAATGTGCTCTTTGTGCTAATAACATAAATGCACTAAAATTTCCTTATAACCACACACCTAACTGCTGCTAAGAGAATTTTAGGTAGAAATCATGTCTCATACTTATGAAAATCATCGTGTGTCAAGACTTCATTTAAATAATTAATGAGCTAACTTATTGAAATGAGAATTATATTAGTAGAGATTTATATTCTCCATAGACTATACTCATTTACATGTCCATGAATAGGAATAATTTAAATTACTAAGGACAATACACTTTGGTATTACTATCAGAGTTCTGTAAGTTAATTATCTACAGAATCTTATAATAACTTTGCCAAAGTAAAGCTTCAAGTCCCTCATAGGATCACAAGCCTGAGACTATCCACTAAGCAGTAGTGAAAAGTAACCCAGTAATTGTTTTCATTTTAATAATTTTGCATATTTTCCTATTTCTACCAACAATTCACAGAAGAATCAATGAGAAATTGTATGGAGAAGTATTGCATACCTAACAAGATCTTAAGATCATATTTTTGTCAAATTTTTTATTTTATTGTTTTGGGACCACAACTGGCCATGTTCAGGGGTTACTCCTGGCACTGTACTCAGAAATTATTCCCCCATAGTGTTCAGGGAACCATATGGGATGCCAGCCATCAAACCATGTCAGTAGTATGCAGGTCAAGGGTCATCTCTGCTATACTATCTATCTTTCCAGCTCCTGTCTAAAAATTTTTATCTCTGAAAATAGGCTACATAATTTCTGTCAAGTAAGCACATGTATTTTAACTAAATTTTAATATAGTTAAGGAAGTTACAATAGTGTAAAAATTTATGGTATTGTTAGACTAAACTACTACATCCCAGCATTGTCAAAGTGTCTAAGAACCCACTCCACTGTCCCTGCACCTCTTGTCTGACCCTCCCTGCACTTTATTCCCCCACTATTTGGTAACTGGTTCAGTTCAAAAGTAAATATATCTTAATTAACTCTTTTCAAATATTAAATATTTAGAGCTTTGAACCAAGAGTGCAAACAGTAAATCTTGTATTTTAGTAAAATATTAACATGACTAACTTTTCATGTTAATGTGATTTTTATATTTTGGATCTCACTATGTGCTCTATTATGAGCAAGATGAAGTGGGCCTATCTTTTTGATGAAGAAAATCATCAAATAAGTGTGAAAATCACTGTATTTAGCTTTGTATAGAAATGTTCTCATTTTTAAAGTGTCCTAATGCAAATATAGAAAACTCTGGCAGTGACTTTTCTTACTCTCTGCTTTACTTTGTTACTTTCTGCGTGATGAAATAGTTTGCATAATGAGTGCTATTGTTTTCGCAAAGTAGAATATTAAGGGTAGTTCTAGATTATTGAATGACCCTCTCTGACAGTTTCAGAACTAAACGAAAAAAGTATTATCAACATGGGGCAGGAGCGGGTGCAGAAGGTACACTGGTGGGGCATTTACCTTGCTCACAGTTTTCCTGAGTTTGATCCCCGGCACCCCATATGGTCCCCTGAAGCCTCCAGGAGCGATCCTTCAGTGATCCTTAAGTGCAGAGCTGGGGTAGAGAAATCCTCACCCAAGGCAAGATTTGTACCCCCAAACCCAAAGAAAAAAGAAAAAATAATCAACAACCCTATCAAACCAAATAGCATGTAGAACTGTAAGAGTAAAGGTACAATTCTGCTACAACTCAACCTAGTCACTCCATTGAGAGACAAGGAGAAAAATCTTTATTAACAAGAATCCGGTAGGTTGGAAAGTGGAACACCTATGTCCAGAGAACTATTTTGCCTTCACTGTTGTAAATAACAACTGTATATAAGGTAAGGTAAAGGTAAAGGCCCTCCCGTTGATCGTCGATTTGCTCGAGCGGGCCCAGTAACGTCTCCATTGGAGACTTTGTTGTTACTGTGTCTGGCATATCGAATACTCTCGGTAGCTTGCCGGGCTCTCCGAGAGGGGCGGAGGAATCGAACTCGGGTCGGCCATGTTGGCCGCTTGTAAGGCGAACGCCCTACCCGCTGTGCTAACAACTGTATATAAAAGAACAGGAAAGTCTAATTTTAGACAAAGTAGGTTAATTAAGATTGGTGGATCCAGTGTGGTCAGTAAATTTTGTTATGGCCTGTTTTGTAACTAAAGAAGAATTTTCTAATGAAGACTTCTGCCTACATGCTGTCTTCTTTGTGTAGATGTTTGGGAAAAGGACAAATTAACAGAAAACATCCTATTTTTTCCAATTTCAATAGCTACCCCATGCTATGAGGAGTTTGTCAGTTTTAATTTTGAGTCCAGATCTAAATTCTGTTTGAGCCATTTTAGAACCTATGAAATACTATCCCTTCTATTGCAGTTTAATTCAAATAATCATTTTTCATTCGTTTTTGTGTAAATAACTTCACTAACATATACGATTATCAGAAGCCTTAGTTAAATTTGTGTGCATTTAAAGACCTTCATATAATATATGTTTTCTATCATTGTAGTGTCTAAATATATTGGAAGCATATTTGTCATTCATGTTTTCCTTTCGTTATAGTATGCAGTACTATTAATGGTGGCATTTGCTGTTCAACTTATGTTTTCAGCCTTAATTTTCACAAAGAAAGAGGAGGTATGAAAATATAATATTTTTATTTGAAACATAAGGAAAATTGAATAGTTCAGTCATTGAGACCTGCGAATCTCATTAAAATCTAAAGACAAATGTCTTAAAGGAGAGAACATTTAACAAAGCACTACAAATGTATACAGGAAGTGACTAGGGATCATAATAAATGAGTATGTTAGTAAAAAAAATTCCTCTTTAACTCTGTTTACAGAAGAGTGAGACTGCTGTAAATAAGAAAGTATGTTGAGAAAAAAAGAGATAATGATGAGCATGAGGACTATAAAATCAGGTTACAATGCCTTGACTGATCCTATCCATGTAGTCACTACTCTATATTCTAGTTTTAAAAAATGCCTTGAGACTTGAGCTACCTGAAATTTAGTAATTGCAGTTACTAAAATTATAAATAGTATAGCATGTCTCACACAGTTATTGTAAAAAGTGGCATAAGTAAACTTGAACATTGTATACATGAGTGTGTGTGTGTGTGTGTGTGTGTGTATAGGAAGAAAACAATATAGCCTATTATTAAAATTCTCTAAGAAATTGTGATTTAGAATAGTCAAAGAATGTTTCTTTATCATGGGAAATTGATCTGTAGTAAAAGACCATGAATTTAAAGTCATACATATTTCTGTGTAACTATCATTGTCACTGTCCTCCCATTGTTCATCGGTTTGCTCAAGCGGGCCCAGTAACGTCTCCATTGTGACAATTGTTACTATGTTTGGCATACCGAGTACGTCACTGGTAGCTTGCCAGGTTTTGCTGTGTGGGCAAGATACTCTCGGTAGCTTGCCGGGCTCTCCGAGAGGGGCAGAGGAATCGAACTCGGGTCGGCCATGTTGGCCGCTTGCAAGGCAAACGCCCTACCCGCTGTGCAAACGCCCTACCTGCTGTGCTATCGCTCCAGCCCCTGTGTAACTATAGATCAGCAGAATACTAAAGAGCCTGAATTCTTTGCCTTCATAAGTAAACGCTAGTTAATATTTTTCTACCTTATAGAATTATCATTAACTAAGAACTTACAAGGTTCTCATTATAGAGTATCCATTCCTTCTGCTCTAACTTGCTTTAGAAAGTGTACCTAATTAATTCTTATGCTTCCTAGGCTTTCTAGTCCCTCTCTCAGGGCTAAAGAGTTCCAAAGGTTAGAGCACATTCATTGAATGTGGCAGGTCTGGAATAAATACCTGGAAACACCTAGTTCTCTGAGTTCTGAGAACAACCCATGACAAGAAGTTAAAATACCATGGGGAATGACCAGAAACAAAACAAAACAAAAATTGATTATATACAGACTCCTAGGTAGTAGTCAAGCTCTAACAACATAGTACCTAATGCTGTTGCCCTAAAATTTATTTTATTTATTTTACTGGTTATATATTCTGGATATCTAATTCTTAAAGTCTCTTCTTTCAGCCAGCATTTTTTTTTCATATTGCTCTTCTGAAAGCCTGTTTTCCACTCTATTTACCTGAGACTGATATTGTGCCTCTACAGATTGCACTTTTATAAGTTTCTACAGGTTGAACCTCTATAAGGTTCAAAAATATAATGCCTGTAAAATATTACCAGATAGCACAGCAGTAGGTCGTTTGCCTTGAGCGCAGACAGCCTGGCCGAGCCAGGTTCGATTCCTCCGACCCTCTCAGAGAGCCCGGCGAGCTACCGAGAGTATCTCGCCCGCACGGCAAAGCCTGGCAAGCTCCCCGTGACATATTCGATATGCCAAACACAGTAACGACAAGTCTCAAAAAAAGTGGAGACATTACTGGGCCCACTCAAGCAAATCGATGAACAACGGGAGGACAGTGTTTGTTTTATATACTAAAGTTGCTAAGAAATTATAATATTTTAAAAATAATGTACTTATTTTTAAAATATTATAATAAAATGTAAAATAAATTGAACAATTTTGATTACATTAATTTTGTCTCCTATATTCAAAACTGGGATAAGTTCTCCTAAATCTCTAAATCTTTTACATCATTTACATTTTCTAATTCAGTGTTAGAGATGTACTAGAATTCAACCAGTGTTTGTCAGACCAAATAAGTCTAAGGTCAATTTATTTATATAATATTCTCCTAGAATACCCATAGAAAACTCACTTAACTCATATTCTAAATTGTCATTTGAATGTTCTCTGAATCTCAGTGGATTACAGGGTAAATGAGACATGTATTACCAAAAAAATATAAAATGGAAAATGCTATTTTCTATTTTAAATAAAAATAATCTAATAAGTGAATTATAAATATCTAAATAGATAAATAAATCTCTAAAGAGCAGTTTATATTATTCTAATATTCTTTTTAGAAAGTCTCCTGGCCCAGTGTTTGTTTGATTCTGGCCATGCTTAGGGAACATTTTGGGACCAGAGATAAAACCTGGATCTCCACATGCAAAGCATGTGATCCAGCTATTTAGACCTTCTCCCTGACCCATTCTAATATTCTTAAATGTTTAAAAACTCAGGTGCTTTAGAATTTAATTCATAACAGGTAACTGAATAGTATCTTTATTACAACCTAGTTTCTATGATTTGGGCTAAAATACAAATGAAATCTCTTTATAAGCCCCAACTACTCTTTCTCTCATGTTCAGAGCATATATCATATTTTGAGTGTTTTAATATCCTTATTTAAAAATGGAATTGATTTTTCTTCCCACCGCTTGGTATATTTTTGAGAACCAGTTAGAAATTTATCATGCAGAAAACATAAGTTTTTCAGCGCTTAAATTACTAATGTAACGTTTACAACTGCCCAGTGATAGAGCAAATGTGTCAAATATGTTAGACCCTGGGTTCTATCCTTGTCACCACAAAACAAAAACAAACAGAAAGAGAAGGTATTTGTTTAGAGTATGACTTGCTAGATACAAACTTGGAAAACAAACTTGGAAAGGAGAGGACTGGATTCTCATAAAAAAATAATTTGTTTATATGACAAAGAATTATTTTTCTTCCTATAATTCTCTGTAACATACAACATTATAAAAATAAATTGAAAACTAAGACTCTGTAGAGTCAGAGGACCTCATTTTATACTAAAGAAACTTCCCTTTCCATTAAAAATACTCAGTGGTTTTTTTATGGCCCATTTCAAAGCCTCCTACATTTTTCCTCAGGGGTAAAAGGAAGAAATGTTGAAACTGGGTATAGTCAGGAGATTAAGCTTACCATAAAATCTGTCCATTTTATTTTTCCTGTAGATTCACAGTAACAGACCAATAGTCTAAACACTTAGATTACTAAGAAACAATTTTTTAGGAAATTCTTTTTTTAAGAAAAAAAGTCCTTAAAATAAGCAGAAAACGTATAGTGACTTTGAATTTTCTCTTTTTATTTTTTTCAAAAATAATACTTTTTAACAGTGAAGATGTTTTAATGTTTTAGCAGCATAGCGTGAGTCATTCAGAAAAATTCTATTAAAACTTAAAAATGTAATATCATTTTTCAATAGGTTTACCAAGTGTGGCATAATAAATTTGATAAACTCATTTCTAATTATGGATCTAAAGATAGGCCTGAAGACAGAACCAAGTGGACTATTCTGGATGCTTTACAGAAAACAGTAAGAGAGAATTAATATAAAACTTAAATTTGATATTGTAGTTGCAAAATAGATATTGTAACATTATATACTGTCACAAATTTTGAGTGAGGATACAAAGGTGGGGGTTTGGAGATATAGGGCAGAGCAGAGGATAGAAGCAAACATATGACAGGTTCCCGTATTTCTTTCTATCTCACATAAAGTTATTAAAATTTCAGGGAATATATTAAGAGAAATAAATTTTATTACAATTGAAATATAATTGAAAGTGGCTTTACCATATTAATTTTCCTCTGATACATGTGATCCTTACTGAGATTGTATTATCAGATTGTGTTATGCCTAATTGCAGATGATCAAAACTTCTATGATCCAAAGCTGATAAATAGCAATCAATTCTAAGGATGACATCACTATTATATTTATATTATATTATATTATATTATTATTATATCCTGCCTCTGGTACTTGAATACAGTCATACATATAGTTGCAATAGTGTATATAGGTTTAAAGTTTAAATTAATATTTAATATTTAGTATCGATATAATTATAATATTATAAATATTATATAATTACATATTATATAATTATAATATAATCAAAATAAATTATGATTATAATAAATATTATATAATTATAATATTATAAATTATAATTATGATCAGTATTATATTATAATGTTATAAATATTATAATAAATATAATATTTAGTATTAATATTTAGTATCCTTATCAAAGTGATAGCACAGCGGTAGGGCGTTTGCCTTGCACGCAGCCAACATGGCCGACCCGAGTTCGATTCCTCCGCCCCTCTTGGAGAGCCCGGCAAGCTACCGAGAGTATCTTGCCCGCACGGCAGAGCCTGGCAAGCTCCCCGTGACGTATTCGATATGCCAGACACAGTAACAACAAAGTCTCCAATGGAGACGTTACTGGGCCCGCTCGAGCAAATTGATGATCAACGGGAGGGCCTTTACTTGCTAATATTTAGTGGTCAAACATGTGAGCACTATTTTGGTGTAGCAGTAAATTCTCCAAATTTACTGCTACATGAAACTGGCTAGCTCCTCAGTGTGAGCCCTTAAATATTGTGTAACACTAGTATAAAAAACTCTACATGTTTATGAAGTCATGTAATAGCTTTAAGAAGGTAGTTTTGAATCACCAATGTCATACATCCAGGCTCATGCTTCTCACTGACACCTGTGTATTGTATCTTGTCCTTGGCCCATGCTGGCTGACCACTTGCTGGTGCTTTCCCTCTGTGCTTCAATGTTCTCAAAGGCCCTCTGGCCATCTCTGATGATCTGTCACTCTTTGGAAGTGCAGCTGCTCTTGGTCCTTTAGTTTTTTGGTTTTTTTTTTTTCCAGCCACATTCTTTTCCTGCTGCCTGCTTATGTACTATTGTCATCTGCCCAGGCTGAGTGCAGTGTCAAAGAGAGACTACTGCCCTCTGTTCAAGTCACCAGAGTTTAAGAGAGGAAGTTTTCAGAACTGTATTGCCGTGTGAGTGTTGCTAGTCCCATTCCTTAGCCATTTCCACTATTCATCTGACTGATTGTTGTGATTTAAAATGACCGATTGTATTGACTAGATTCTCTGGCAACCCCTGCCTCTTTCTACCTCCACCATCACACTATGGAAATTGTTGAATATGTTAAAACATCAGTTTTAACTTATTAACAAACAGAAATGATGAGGTACTTCAACCTTTTCTTATTTTATACTTTAGCATAAATATAAGCATGTCTTTTACATTCTCTCAACCTCCTTTAATAAAATGCCAGAATCATCACTGAAAACTAGACATTTAGTAGAAGTTTAATCATTCTTCCACCTATTTTCTTGTCTCCTTAGGTCTTTTGTGCAAAGTTTTGTACAACACATAATACAGAGTTAAAATTTTATAATAATCTTAAGAAAGTACTAAATATACAAACCCATATTCTGGAAGATAGTTTAAGATCACTTGAAAGAAAAATGTCACTAAGGTGTTATACAGTGTCCCAATGCTAAATACTCCTAGTTTGGGCATACCAGGTATAACTTCCACCTTGAACTCCTATAAAATACAATTAAATTATAATAATGGCATATGAATATGTGTCATTTATATGAGTAGGTATATTTAGCTCTGATCAATCAACAACAATAACAAAATATTTAATTAAGCATGCATAATGTACTTGTTTATTTAATTCACTACATTTTACTGGAGAATAAATTAAACTGCCTTCATATACGAAATCACTTTCATGTGCATGTGAATCATATCATTAGCTGTATCTCTTAAAGAATGTGCATTGAACCTTTTTTCTAGTTAGAGTGCTGTGGCCAACACAATTACACGGATTGGACAAAGAATGGAAATAAAGAGAATTATGGACAGGTGCCATGTTCGTGCACAAACTCTACATTAAGAAAATGGTTTTGTGATGTACCACTGAATGCAACTTATACAGAGGTAAGACTTCGCCAAACATGCATGATGACTTTTTTTGGTTTGTTTTTACTTTACCTTTGTTTTTACTTTAACTTTTTAAAATTTATAATTCTGAGCAAGTTTTTGATGGTGATCATGTTCTTCAGTTACTTACCTAAAATTATATGATTCAGAGTTATTAAAAGTTAATTAAGCTGTGTTATACAAGCATTTCTAGAGTTTGAGATATCATCAAAGTTTCAAACATTTCTTATCAACTCCCTTTAGAGAGTTGACACTTCTGGCAAAGTAAGCTGGCTCTTTTGGTATGTAAACTTGTCAAGGGATTTGCAGTATCAGAAGTGAGAGAGGATAATTTGAAAAAGTTGAAAAAAAAGGTGATTCTAGCAATGTCAAAAGAAGTGTTCAGGTAAAGTTGGAAGGTGAGGGCCAATAAATAATACAGATATTCTGAGAGAGTCTTGCATACATCCAGTACTGGTTTTATTCTTTACATCACCTAGTCTCCACCTGAGCAGCAACCTAGGGCCCTTGAATTAAACTTGACTCTATGGAACACCGCTCCAAAAAAGAGGTGGCAGAATAATAGCAGAAGCACTTACTGTATGCATAGAATATTTATAAACCAGAAATTTATCTATCCCAAGAACTTCTAATGCTTTGGATTATTCTGTTTTAAGATACATATTTAAAATTCATAATTAATTTATATACTAATAGAATATCAAGTTTTTTTTATAAAGAGCTTCTTCTTATTAGTAAATAATTATTTTAGGTGGTTGCATATCCTATATTGAATTACAATAAGCTGCAGAATATTTTCCTAAACAAATTAATGACTTTCTAGTTTTATTCACATGACAATGTTTTAGCAACTTTAAAAGTAGCAGCTAAGTTGTTACTTGCTGCCAGTCTCCAGAAAGACCTTGCTTTTTAAATCTTGGTAATTACAAGTATCTATGTCTTCTTCTTTGTAATAGAATTATGTCTAAAGCATTTTAACCTTCAATCTAACTAGCTTCTTTTCTTTAGGGATGTGAAAATAAAATCTATCTGTGGTTTCATACAAATGCATTAGCATTAATTGGAATTAACTTTGGAATTCTGGCTTCAGAAGTAAGCATTGTTAATTACTTAATGATAAAGTATACTGAAAACAAACTATATATAATAATTCACTGAACTATGAGATGCACATCGAATAAGAGAAGATATTACAATATAATCTGGAAACAGTAAATTCACACACAAGAATAGATCCTTTAATTAGAAAGTGATATCCCTAAAGTGATATTTAGTTAATGGGATTCTACAAATTAATGGGATTCTACTGCAAAAGAGATAACATGTATTATATATGAGGTATTATATTGGATGTTAGAAATTCAAGGGGAATTTGGAGAGATATTTTATGCTGTGTTGGTGATAACTAAAAGATGTATAATTAGAAGCAGGATTTCATCCTCTAGTTCCAGTAAAGAGAGTTCAAAGCAAGTGCATAGTTTCAAAGAAAGGTTGAAAATTTCATTATAATTGACTAGACTAAAATATTATCTATAACATTGTAATGAACATTTAATTTCTAGAACATTTTTATTGAAGTGAAAGGGCAATAACTCAAGTTTGAATAAATCGTCTTTGGTTGGTATCTGTTTTAATCTCATGATGGTGGTAAACCAAAACATCCTTTATAACACTAATATCGTTCTTTGTAAATTTTTATTTACAAAGATATTTATTATGCAAATACTTATTGTATTCATGCTGATGTGTTTAAGACTGAAGGGGGCATAATAATATCTGCATTTGCTTTTCTTCTACAATTCTCATCCACCCTCAATGATCCCATTCCAAAAAAGGAGACAGTTTTGTAGGACTGATCACGCAGAGATGATCATCAATTAATCAAGGCATCTAGCAAATGATAGGTAATGAAGTGAAAATAAAATAGTTTTTCTTAGTTCCCTCAAAAAATAACCTTACTGGTCGTGAAGTTTCTCTAGAAAAACCAACTCTTTTTTTAAAAATTTTATTAGTGAGACATCATGAGGTACAGTTGTAGACTTACAAATTTTTGTGCTTGGGTTTCAATTATACAATGATCAAATACCTGTCCCTCCACCAGTGCCCATTTCCCACCACCATGGATCCCAGTATCCCTCCCAACCCCCATCCCCCCATCCCCCCTGCCTCTGTGGCAGGGCATTCCCTTTTGTTCTCTCTATCTTATTGGGTGCTGTGGTTTGCAAAAGAGGCAATGGGTGACAATCATGTTTGGTCTATAGTCTACTTTCAACATTCTTCTCCCATCCTGGGAGGATCCTCCCAACACCCTTTTTTTTTTTTTTTGGTGTTCTCTTCTCTACCTGAACTCCCTTTTCCCCTAGCATTTGTGTGGAAAGTATCATGTTAAGGGAAATGACTCAAAGAAAGGGATAGACATAGAAAGATTGCATTCATCTCTGGAACATAAAGTAACAAAATAGGAGACTAACGCCCAAGAATGGCAGAGATTAGTACCAGGAATTTTACTCCATGGCTTAGAGGCCAACCACAAAAACCAACTCTTAAAAGTTCAATAACAAAACTTATTTGCCCTTAACGTTCACTGTTATTATTCGGATTGCCCTGCCACAGAGGCGGGGGGATGGGGGGATGGGGGTGGGGGGATATTATCCATGGTGGTGGAAAATTGGCACTGGTGGAGGGATGGGTATCTGATCATTGTATAATCAAACCCAAGCACAAAAAATTGTAAATCTACAAAAAAAAAATAAATAAAGTAACAAAACATGAAAAAAAAACTTATTTGCCTTACTTTGAAGTTTTCTCATGTTTTTGATAGAATTTTTCTTTACTAATATGATTTTTGTATTTACCTAGTAATTGCTAACATTAAAAAAATTATTACTGATACAATTTTTTGTTTCTTCTAGGTTTTACAAGTTTTATTGATTGTTTCTTTCTTCAGACACATCAAGAATAGAATATGTACAGAAATGTAAACTTTAGATTTTATCTGTCCAGAAGAATCCAGTTAATTTTTCTCAAATAAGTGTGGCGTTATTTTATTCCAACAAAAATAATGTGAATCATATTAAGTTTAGAGGTTATATAAATAATTACATGTAACATAGGATTTTTGAAAATAATAATTACTCCATAAAATATAACAATTTGCTTTTTTAAATATTAAATGTTACAGTTCATGACTTTACCTTAAATCATTTTCCTAAATTCATCACATATAGTGAATTCAGTATTCAAAATATGATAAAGCCTCACCATCTGTTTTGAGTTTCTTGTGTAGAAAAACCACTTACAAGATGTTACAAAATCTAATTATGCAATTGTAACATGTCATATACTTGCAATTCTTAAAAAAAAAAAAACTTAAAAAAATACATGATATTTAAGTGAAAGATTGAAAATTCTGGTGCCTGAGCTATAATAAAACAGATAGGGTATTTGCCTTGCACATGGTCAGCCAGATTTGATCCCCTGCACTGTACCCCATATGGTTCCCCAAACCCCTGCCAGGAATGATCCATGAGAGCAGAGACAAGACTAAGCTTTCAGTACTGCCCGAAATTGCCCCAAAAGAAAAAAAAAAAGGAATAAAGATTGAAAATTCATTCAAACACTAACTTCTATAAATGAGTCAGATATTTGTCTTTTCTGATACTGGTTGAAAATAAATAGTAAGTTAGATTTTTATAAATGGAAATAAAAAATATGGAATTTAGGGGCTGGAGCGATAGTACGTACAGTGAGTAGGGCATTGCCTTGCACAAAACTGGCCCAGGTTCGATTCTCAGCATCCCATATGGTCCCCTGAGCACCGCCAGGAGTAATTCCTGAGTGCATGAGCCAGGAGTAATCCCTTTGTATCACTGGATGTGACCCTAAAAGGAAAAAAAAAGGAATTAAAGTGTTTTACTATATCCAAACAATCTGTTTTAAATGATCACTGATTTCCCATATCCTTTACTTGCAACTTATTTTCTTCTTTTTCTTAATTTTTTGTCAGTGAGTGTATTCACAATTCCTTGAAATATGTTCAAATATATAGCATATTCTGTTTCCCTAATAATAATATTGTGAGGACAATATTATTGTCCTTTTTAAAAAGTACAGTCCTTTCAAAAATAAGAATGTTAAGCAAATGTGAGGTATTGGCCTATCACTGATGTCCTTTATAGCAAAAGGCTGCCTTAAACTTGGGAAAATGGGAAAAGAAATTGGAAGATTCTGAATTGCTCTCAGTTTTATTAAAGGCTCACTCTCTTTTACTATTTCAGTTATATCTCTTTATATTCATCTCTTCAGCACATTGCACATTTCAAAGTCCTAAGTACCTCTTTTCTAAGTCAAAAAACAAAGGAAAATTGAATAGCTATTTTTCTTTAGGATGACCTGTAAATAGACATGGCTTCAGAATTTAAAGATCAAATTCCCATTTTCGCTAAAATTAACTGTAAGAGCATAATAACAGCACACATTTCTCTTCCACAGGAAAACTTAAAGTTATTAGTAATCAAATAAATGTGCTAGATATATAATTTTATTATATTTGTTTTGCATTAATAAATACTTTTTTACAACAACTTTATTTTATTTTTTATTTTTTAATTTTATTTATTTTGAATACCCATCCCTCCACCAGTGCCCATTTCCCACAACCACGGATCCCAGTATCCCTCCCATCCCCCATCCCCCATATCCCCCCCCCCCCCCCGCCTCTGTGGCAGGGCATTCCCTTCTGTTCTCTCTCTCCTTTTGGGTGTTGTGGTTTGCAAAAGAGTTGAGCCTGATTTTCAGGGAGAGATGTTGGATGATTTACTTTCCATTGATCACTTTGTATATAAAGAGATGTCATGCAGCCACATAAGCGGCCGCGTGGTTTGGAAAAATGCCCGAGCTATGCTTGTAGAGGCTCATGGTCACCTGGGTTCCATCTGGAGAAGGTAGGATGGAGCACCTACCCCATCTGTGATCTCCCAGTGATATCGACTCTGTTTGGGACCTGGAGCATTCTCCAGGAGCTGTGGGGCCCTCCAGCGGTTTTCTTCTTTGTTGCTGTGTGCTGTAAAGATGGCGCTGGGGGGCAGGTTGTGGGCGTGACTTCTGGAATCAGAGGTTGCCTGGGAGCCGGGGTCACCACATTGCAGTTTGGAAGAAATGTCCTGGTTCCCGCACGCCCGAGCTATGCTTGTAGAGGCTCATGGTCACCGGGGTTCCATCTGGAGAAGGCGGAATGCAGCACCTACCCCATCTGGGATCTCCCGGTGCTATCAGCTCTGTTTGGGACTTGGAGCATTCTTCAGGAGCTGTGGGGCCCTCCAGCGGTTTTCTTCTGTGTTGCTGTGTGTTCAGTAAATACTTTTTAGATATAGATTGCCCACTTTCAGTTAATACAATTAATTTACAAAATAGATGCACTGCTGACTGAACCCTTTCCTTCATAACTCTTGGAGCTATTGCCTTGGGTGATAATTTATACCCTGAACAAAACTTAAGACTGTATGGTTAGATAAAATAGAATAGGTCAAGAATATAAATTTTTATTCAATTTTCTGAAATAGAAAATTTGGAAAGTTCTAAAAATCAATCAGGATCAGAAATGAACCCCTGACTTAGTATTTAGAGAATGTAGTCAACCTTTTCCCTTCACAATGCCAAATTATTTATCAAAAATATTTAACATGATTCAGATTTTTCATTTTTAAGGCTATTGTCTGATGATACCATAAATTGAAATAATTTTAACTTCTTTTTAAATAAGGATACTTGCATGCATGGGCTGGAGCAATAGCACAGCGGGTAGGGCATTTGCCATGCACGCAGCCAACATGGCCGACCCAAGTTAGATTCCCCTGCCCCTCTCAGAGAGCTTGGCAAGCTGCAGAGAGTATCTTGCCCACATGGCAAAACCTGGCAAGCTACCCATGACATATCTATATGCCAAACACAGTAACAAGTCTCACAATGTTACTGGGCCTGCTAGAGCAAATCGATGAACAATGGGAGGACAGTGATAGTGACAGTGACTTGCATGCATACATTCAATAAGACTTTTGTCAATAAAATACTCACTAGGGACATTGTAAAGTTGTTCTCTTGGATTGTGAGGGGGGCATGAAGATTTCATTTTGAAGAATTTCAGAACTAGTTTAATACTACTCTGTAGTTTTTATCTATTGCTTGTTTTTTTTTTTTGGAGAGCCACTCTGTGGTTGTCACGGTACTCCTGTCTCAGTGCTCAAGATGGCTTTTGGTCTTTAGGACTCTATATGGTGCCTTGGATTGAACCCAGTCATTTGTATGCAAGGCAAACACACTGTCTTATATATTATCCTTATGGCCTGGGAGTATCATTACTAAAATTATTAATATTTTGGAGTCAGGGATGCCACATTTATGTTTTTCTATGAGATCTCTAAATTTAAAAGCAAGCCCTGTCTCATAACTTAAACTCAGTTACACAGCTTAATTTATAAACAAGAAAGAAAGTGATTCTTTTTATGACAATCCAGAAAAAGAATGTCTGTTTATACTTGAGGATCAGAAAGTCCTTCCAACAGGGAGAATCATTCATTCAACAATAACTTATTGAGCAAGTACTATGTGTTGGACATTGTTCTAAATGCTAAAGGAAGTGCAGTGAATAAATAAAAGCATAGTACGCATTACTCTTAATAGAGGTTGTTTCATTGCATTGCTCTTATGGAGGTTATTTCATTCCAAGGACGCTGAAACAGCAAAACTATCATTTCAGATGTTGGGAAATGCATAAAGAAAAGTCAGGAAGTAGAATGCAGGGTGTTGGATAATTGGAGGGATTGTATTTCTAAACCTTATTGAGAAAAGTCTTGAGTAAATTAATTACCAAAGGAGAGAAGAGGTTAGGGGAAAGACCATGCCAGCAAGAGGAAGGGAGAAACTGAGTGAGACAAAGTGAACAGGATAAATTCAAAGGTCAAGGATACTTGTGTGGTTCCAGTAGAATGAGTTGCTACTAGGGCTGACTCAAAGAATGTACAACCCAAGGCAGGGTGGGGGCGGGGGTAGGGGAGTGGCAGGGGAATGTCATTCAGGCACTTCTCAGTCATTCTTTGAACTTCAGTTTTTGCTTAGTGGAATGGAAAACGGCAGGTTTTGTTCAAGTGACACAGTAAGACTGTTTTTAATAAAAGCAGTCTTGCTGCCATGTTGAAAATAGAGCTAAGTGACACAGACTTGGAAACAGGGAGAACAAAAATGTGTTTTTTTTAATAATTGAAAGAATTCATGGTAAGGGGTTTGGCAGAGTCAAGGTGGAGTTGCTGGCAAGAGAACAGGTGGTTTAGGGTAAGTTTTGTGGTAGTTAACAGTTTTTTTTACCTGTAGAAATGATAGGAGAAGAGGGGGCAAAGACAACTTGAGTACAAGAATGAATTGCTATTGAAGGCAATGAAAATGTCTGTGGGAGAGGTGAGGTAATATTAAATAAACAGTTCACAATTTAACAATCCTACAGAAGGGGTCAGTTTTGTTGGCATATCCCACTGGTGAATCAAACTCAAGGTTAAGGTTTTGTATCTTCTTTGCAATTCCAAAAACCTAAATCAGTACTTACCAGTGTAAATAGGCAACAAATATTAATGAACTTAAGTAAGTCAGATTACTCATTATTCTATCAGATAAAACCCATTGCCCTCTTAGTTTGCCTGACACTTACTCCACTCAATGGTTCTGAATTCATTAGATTATCATAAATATGATCTGTCCAAACGTGTTTGGTAAAGCAGTCGCTGCCAGCTCAATTAGTCATTGCCACCCACATCTTCATTCTAAATGAGAGATGTTGGCAGAATAAAATAATCTTTTAAAATAACTCTATTGAAGCAATTTTTAAAAGAATACCAAAATAGAAATACAGTCTAGTGACCCTGTTTCATGTTTATGGCTTTTGTTTAATATTTGTACTCATTTGATTTGTTTCTGTTACTAGGTGACATAGTAT